GAAAATCATAAAACTTCGCCCGACTCTAACGAATCTTACATTGTCCTTCGGAACATTCTGAAGAAAAACGATAATATAACAAACTGAATTTAAAGATTCTTCTTAATTTAAAGGCGCTTTAAAGATTTTTCAGTTTCAATTACTCGAATTGTCATTCTTTGAAAGCTACGTATTCGGGTTTTAGATATTTCATTCGCCAATCGTTTATCGTACCATCGATATTTTATTTATTATTTCTCTTATGATTTATCTCACGATCTTGTCCCTGATAAATTCGTTGTACGGAATTCGTTGTATTCGTCGCGAGTGCGTTTTTCACTTAGTATATTTTCACTTCGTTGTATCTACATTCTGACGAATGCATAAAATGCGCGGTCTAATAATAAAGCTCGCAGAAGTTTCTCAAATTCAACGAACCCGAATAAACGAAACACCGTGCGGAAAGGTCAGGGGTTAACCCTCCGAAGGTTCATTAACGGTGCCGAGCTATAAATAAATGGAACAAACGAATACTGCGGGCCTTTGAGACACGTGTCCAAAATAATATAATTAATAATAATAATAATAATAATAATATAATAATAATATAATAATAATATAATAATAATATAATAATAATATAATAATAATATAATAATAATATAATAATAATATAATAATAATATAATAATAATATAATAATAATATAATAATAATATAATAATAATATAATAATAATATAATAATAATATAATAATAATATAATAATAATATAATAATAATATAATAATAATATAATAATAATATAATAATAATATAATAATAATATAATAATAATATAATAATAATATAATAATAATATAATAATAATATAATAATAATATAATAATAATATAATAATAATATAATAATAATATAATAATAATATAATAATAATATAATAATAATATAATAATAATATAATAATAATATAATAATAATATAATAATAATATAATAATAATATAATAATAATATAATAATAATATAATAATAATATAATAATAATATAATAATAATATAATAATAATATAATAATAATATAATAATAATATAATAATAATATAATAATAATATAATAATAATATAATAATAATATAATAATAATATAATAATAATATAATAATAATATAATAATAATATAATAATAATATAATAATAATATAGTTTAAAATGAGAATATCGCATGTGATCTTTACATCGCATTTAGAAATCGCTCCGGGCGATTGAAAAGAGAAGGTTCGGTCGCAAACGGGCCCGACAAAACCTAATATATATATAAATAGTCGGCCAGGCACGCAAAATGTTCGAAAGTCGCAGAAGGAGACCGAATCCGAGGAGCGGCCGTGATTCGCGTTTTACAATGAAATATTCCGAGAACGATACACAAGGCGTTCCTTACGGAGGAGCACGTAAGGCTACCGAGGATCACGGCAGAAGGAACTTTCGGCGTGACGAACCACCTATAATTAGAGCAGGTATTCGAGTGAAAATTATAGAGGGGAAAAGGACGAAGGGCAAGCTAGGGTAAGCGATGGCGGTGGGGAAGAAACCGGGCGAGGATTCTGGAGGGGAAGCCGTAGCCGCGAACTGGTATCGTGGACTAGCGACAAGGGAAAAGCCAAGGAAGCGAGTTTAAAGGGTCTTCTTTCCTCAAAGGGTTGTTCGACGACGAATTTTTCAGATCTCTCCAGAATATGGAACACGCTCTCCTCCCATTATTATTCGCAAGATCGCCGAGAAAAAGCCGAAGTGGAAAATACACTGACTCGAACTGTTTCGTTTGCGCCAGGACGGCTGAAAATACTGAATCTTAACTCTTTCGAACGTTCTAGTATAATGGAAACATTTTTGTATAAAATTTGAGACATCGTTTATCCTGTTATCGTTGACAAGTGTCTTAGAAATATTTGTCGAATGATTTTATTATATTGACTTTTCACATCTCGGTACCTCATCGAACCGATATTACAAGTCAGTTGGAATTAGAACGTCGAATTAAAGAATTCTGTTGAAGATGATATTGTTGTCAACGCATATATAACATGATAATCTATCGATG